CTGGAATTACAGGCATGTGCCACCATGCCCGTCTAATTTTGTATTTTTAGTAGAGATGGGGGTTTCTGCATGTTGGTCAGGCTGGTCTCGAACTCTCGACCTCAGGTGATCTGCCCGCCTCAGCCTCCTAAAGTGCTGGGATTACAGGAGTGAGCCACTGCACCCAGCCAACACTACCCAATTCTTGTTTTGGGGCCCTCCTTTTCTAGAACCTTAAAGATCTTGTTTGTTTTCTTTGAGATGGAGTTATGCTCTTGTTGCCCATCCTGGAGTGCAATGGTGTGATCTCAGCTCATCACAACCTCTGTCTCCCGGGTTCAAGTGATTCTCCTGCCTCAGTCTCCCAAGTAGCTGGGATTACAGGCATCCACCACCACGCCCGGCTAATTTTGCATTTTTAGTAGAGACAGGGTTTCTCCATGTTGGTCAAGCTGGTTTTGAACTCCTGACCTCAGGTGTTCTGCCTGCCTCGGCCTCCCGAAGTGCTGAGATTATAGGTGTGAGCCACCGTGCCTGGGTTTTTTGTTTTTTTTGAGACAGAGTCTCACTCTGTCGCCCAGGTTAGAATGCAGTGCTGCGATCTTGGCTCACTGCAACCTCAATCTCCACCTTCTTTGCCTCAGCCTCCCGAGTAGCTGGGATTACAGGTGTCCGCTACCATGCCTGGCTATTGTTTGTATTTTTAGTAGAGATGGGGTTTCACCATGTTGGCCAGGCTAGTGTCGAACTCCTGACCTCAAATTATCCACCTGCCTTGCCTCCCAAAGTGTTAGGATTACAGGCGTGAGCCACCATGCGTGGCCTAGATATTTTTTATTAGTCTATTTTGTTTCTTCTTGAAACAGAATATAATTGACTAAGTTTCAGATTCCTTAGCCATATCAGTTAAAGTCCAGTCAAACCTCCCTGATATGACACAATCTCCTTGCTTGGAGTTGTATGGTCTCCAATATTCCCAGTCCCTGAGTTACACAGCTTACTTCTTCAGAATATTTTACGTTTACTTTTTATTCAAATTTACTAGCTCCATTCCAACATTAAAACCTTACATCCAAGTTCTGATCTAGACACCACAGGCTGAGGTGGGAGGACTGCTTGAGCCCAGGAGCTTGAGACTAGCCTGGACAACACAGGGAGACCCTACAAAAAAATAAATAAATAAAAAATAAAAATTAGTGGGTGGGTACAGTGGCATATGCCTGTGGTCCCAGCTATGTTGGAAGCTGAGGTGAGAGGATTGCTTGAGCCTGAGAGTTCGAAGCTACAGTGAGCCATGATGATGCCACCGTACTCCAGCCTGGGCAACCGAGTGAGTGTCTCAAACCAAAATGGGCACCACAGATACTGAGACCTAAAAGCAGCACAGTGATTAGGGAGATATGGAACGTGGTCTCTAGCCTAAGTTTAGGGAATGAAAACAACTTGAAGCGCTTCCTATTTTTTTTTTTTTTTTTGAGATGGAGTCTCACTCTGTTGCCCAGGCTTGAGTGCAGTGGGCTGATCTCGGCCCACTGTAACCTCAACCTCCCAGGCTCAATCAGTCTTCCCGCCTCAGCCTTCTGAGTAGCTAGGACTAAAGGTACATGCCACCACGCCTGGCAAATATTTGTATTTTTAGTAGGAAGGGGGTTTCGCCATGTTGGTCAGGTTGGTCTTGAACTCCTGGGCTTAAGCAATCTGCACACCTCAGCCTTCCAAAGTGCTATCACAGTCACGAGCCATCCAATGTTTCCACATTGTTTTTCTCTTGTTTTTTGTTTTGTTTTGTTTTTGAGACAGCGTCTTTCGCTCTGTTGCCCAGGCTGGAGTGCAGCAGCAGGATCTTGGCTGACTGCAACCTCCACCTCCCAGGTTCAAGCGATTCTCTTGCCTCAGCCTCCCAAATAGCTGGGATTACAGGCACCTGCCACCACGCCCAGCTAATTTTTGCATTTTTAGTAAAGATGGTTTTCACCATGTTGGCCAGGCTGGTTTCGAACTCCTGACCTCAAGTGACCCTCCTGCCTAGGCCTCCCCAAGTGCTGGGATTACAGGTGTGAGCCACTGCACCTGGCAATGTTTCCACATTTTTTTTTTTTGAGACAGAGTCTCGCTCTGTTGCCCAGGCTAGAGTGTAGTGGCATGATCTCGGCTCACTGCAACCTCTGCCTGCCAGGTTCAAGTGATTCTCCTGCAGCCTCCAGAGTAGCTGGGATTACAGGCGCGCGCCACCACGCCCTGCTAATCTTTGCATTTTTGGGGGGGTGGGGGGACAGTCTCACTCTGTCACCCAGACTAGAGGGCAGTAGCGCGATCTCGGCTCACTGCAACCTCCGACTCACCGGTTCAAGCAATTCTTCTGCCTCAGCCTCCTGAGTAGCTGGGACTACAGGCACGCGCCACCACACCTGGCTAATTTTTTTTGTATTTTTTAGTAGAGACGGGGTTTCACCATGTTGCCCAGGTTGGTTTTGAACTCCTGAGCTCAGGCAATCTGCCCGCCTTGGCCTCCCAAAGTGTTAGGATTACAGGCGTGAGCCACTGTGCCTGGCCAATTTTTGTATTTTTAGTAGAGATGGGGTTTCACTATGTTGGCCAGGCTGGTCTCAAACTCCTGACATCGTGATCCACCCGCCTCGGCCTCCCAAAGCGTTGGGATTACAGGCATGAGCCACTGCACCCAGCCATTTTGTCTCCCCATTTCAAGTTGCAAAGGGCAGGGGCTTGGGCTAGCTGTTCAGAAATTTAATTAGTTCACCTAAGAGATGTCAGGTACAGACAATCCCCGTGCTCTCATGAAAATCGCTAGTAAGACCATCTCACACACACGCACACACACACGTTTGGTGTGCTGACCTAAACAAGGTGGAACATAAGTTTGAAAATAGAGCAGCCTGGGTTACATGGTCCAGTGGTTGCAGGAACTTGGGACAGGATTTTACCTTCAGCCTATTTCCTGATTTAGAAAATATGGAATTTACTTTTCACAATCCCATATAATGAAGTATGTAGCAAAGTACATGGAATGAAACAATGTTTCTCTTCAATAGGCATGCTTTTAGGAAACTACTATCCTCCAGTTGCCCTTTCCCTTCAAGGAAATCTGATTGTCCACAATAAAACCTCCAGTAAATGCCAAGTCACAAACTGAGACCCTGACATTACTTCCAAGTACCACAAGGCTGATGGAACTTAGTCCCACATACAGTTATTTCAAAACAGCATGGGTGTTAAGAGGCAAAAATTTCCCAATAATTCTACCTCCACTTTTGTTAGGTTCAAAACTGAGGCTGGATAAACTTTCCTTGAAAATATCAGAAAAATTTAAGTGGCCAGGCACAGTGGCTCACAGTTCTAATCTCAGCACTTTAGGAGGCTGAGGTGGGCAGATCCCCTAAGGCCAGGAGTTCAAGACCAGCCTGGGCAACATGGTGAAACGCTGTCTCTATTAAAAATACAATTAGCTGGGCACCTCTAGTCCCACCTACATGGGAAGTTGAGTCAGAATTGCTTTAACCCAGGAGGCAGAGGTTGCAGTGAGCAAAGATTGTCACTGCACTCCAGTCTGGGTGACAGAGGGACACTTCATCTCAAACACACACACAGAAAAACCTAAGCATTTGCTAGAGGGCACAATTATTACTTCCAAGATAGCCCTTACATTTTTAGGCTCACTATCTTTGAGAGGCTAAGTCTTGCCTCCCATTCAGTTTACTTTCTTACTCCTGGCTTGATAATTCTACTTTAGTATGAGACAGCTGGCCAATAAACCCAACTTGTTTGCCAAAAATGAAATCCATTATGTCCTTCTGCAACAGATGGTGAGCATAAGTCCCAATAGAGACCTACTGAGCTCAGTGGCAGTGCTACAACTTGATTTTCCCTTGCCAGGGGAGCTAGAAAAAGGACATGCTCAATTGGATCAACAGTAAAGTTTACTTATTATAATGAGCCAAAAATTACTCCAGCAGTGAAAACTTATTTCTATTTTCATTAAACCATAAAGCTGAATGGGATGAATCTAAATATAGCAATTCACATTGTAATCAACCATATCCTCTCTAACCTAAATTTCAACGTTATTAACCATAGATATCACAAAGGAGGACAAAACAAGCAGAAATAAGTCAAACACAGTTTATTTAAAAAAAAAAAAAACAAAAAACCCCATTTACAAAATGGAATTTGAGCTGCAGAACAGCTCATGTCAACTGCATGGCAGTGATAACGAAGCACAGTGGCTCAGATAAAGGTCTTCACAAGGATGTTCCTGCAAAAGGCAAAAGAGGTTATAAAGTATTTATATAAACAGAGGTGAATGACTACACAATTATATCCATTGTCACTACTGGGAATACCTGGTTGTACCAGTAACTTTTTGCAATTGGATGAGATTACAAAATGTTTTGGTTTGAGGTACAGCTTGTCCTCCCTTTTTACTTTGGGAACGCAGGGCATTCTTTTGCTGACCACTAACTTGTAAAAAACTTACCTTTCTGCCACGAACTTGGACAGGTGAGTTTCTGTTTTTAAGAGCTGATAAGACTAGTAGCAGACTCCTCCCTAGAAAAGTAAACAGCCTTTAGAAGTAGCTCTCTTCTAAGACCAAGTCCCATCTCAAGCTAAACCCCCCATACCTCCCATGGATAGCCCACCCATCCCCCCACCATATGGGGAAGAGTCTATTACTTTGAGCCATTATTTTAAGGAAATGGGTCAAAGGAAGATAAATAAAAGGGCAAAAATTTATATTCACAGTACAAATAATGTGCTCACTTCCTTAAACTGGGAGCCACCAATAGGGTGTCAATTTAAAACAATTCATCTCCAGAAAAACCAAGTTCAGCTTAACTGGACTAGTTTTGGCTCAATATATTAAGAAAAATGTTTAACAGAAAACTGGACTTTAAGCCACTATATGGATGTAAGTAAAATCTGTTCTTACCTACCCGCATAGCAATAAAACCTTTCCTCCTGGTTCTGACTGCTAGTCCTAAGAGTCAGGTGTGCCTTACTCTTGTCTGCCTCCTTCCTTGCGATGATCACTGAAATTTCACTCCCTCCTAGCTTTCATGGAGCGTGCCGTGGCCTGCCCCTGGCTTATCTGTACTCCACATACCACAAGTGTCTACTCTCAGCTGCAGAGTGTCTGAGCTCGGAGCCATTCGCGCTATACTTGCTAGCAGTTCCTAGTAGCTGAACATCTCTCCTGGATCTTTAAAGGCATTGTCACGAATCCTGAGGTATCTGCAAACTCCCTCAATAGTTAAGGTTCCACCTGCTATTGCAAACTCAGCCAGTATCATGGACTATCACCCATGCTTTCCCACCCACCACCATCTCCCACCCACCTCCCACCACCCTCCTCCCCAAACTTCCAACACACCCATGGGATGGAATATACAGTACTATTGATAAACAAATCTCTATACTACTAGGTACAATAGCACTGAAATTGAGAGCACCAAAGGTAAGGCTCAAAAGAATCTATGTACAAATAACACATTATTGGATATTAACTGTTAAAGGTTTAGAAATCATTTTCTATACAATTAACATTTTAGGTAGGTTGTGTGACCTTGTGCCATAAAGGGAAACTGCAGTTAACATGAAATTACATAGAAAAATTTAGTTTCTATTGGTATGGTTTTCATCTCCAAATTAGTATAGTTAACTGATAAAACCTCTGAAGGCCCACCCAACCAGAACCCAGTCAAACTGCAGTTTTCCTTTAATGTAAGCCTATCTTTATGTTCATTAAAATACTTTCTGATATTGCTTATTTTTAAAAGGCCTCCCAAACACTTCAAATCTGTGGATTTATGGAGCGGCATTAGCCAGCTAGTTTCTATTCCCTGGCAGAGCTTTGAACTTGAATTGTGATAGAAGCATTCAACATCATCAAGGGGAGTGGGTAGGGAAAGTCCAAATCTCTGCCAGTCCCAAATCCATACAGTTGTCATTTCATTCAAGAGAATTAAATCGTTTATTGATTACACATGATAATGGATGATACACAAGCTTCATTCCCATCTATAATTTTATCTGGTACCATTATTCAATTTAGATATATTGCATAGGATGTGCCAACAATCACTTTTATAACCAATAATTCCATGATTTTGCTTGGGTAATCCCTTTTAACAGTGAACTTCAGGTCACAACAGTAACTATCAGTTCAACTACACCAAGGTTTCCGAAGACAATGGCTTCTCCACCCAAGCAGGTTGTATATAAATTCCAAATAGAACCTGGCATCACCCTGAAAGAATTCTAACTTCACACTGTTGGGGAAGTTTACCAAGATGGCTTCAGAGTAGACTAACTTTACACAGCACATTAAAAAAAAGACATTTATTCAGCGTCACGATCAGACTATTACATTTAGCAATCAACAGCATGGGTGCAAAAAAAAAAAAATCTACATTAAAACCCTTTGTTGGAATGCTTTACACTTTCCACAGAACAGAAACTAAAATAACCTGTTATACAATTAGTCACAAATACAGTCCTCGAGTTTTTTGCCCATACACATGAGTATTTGTCTAAAACATGTCTTCTTTGTAGCAGCTAGGCCCTGCCACCACTGTGCTTGGCTGAGTTCACAAATCTGTTGTAACCTGTAGCTTCCCTGTCACTTCTCTGGCTCTCCTCTCCTGCTAAGCTTTGTTTCCTGTTGAACAATATGGAATAAAGTTGTTAATCTAAACATATTAAGACTCAAGGCTACAATCCAATATCAAGTTTGCTTCCCACAAATTTTGCTGATCTGAATATTAACTTTATATCCACAATTACTGCAATTATAATGTTAACTATGTTGCACTGCTCAGCTACATTAGGGTTATTGGGTTCATCAGCAATTTAAAAAATTATGTCCACACACAAAAAGGTGCTTACTTACCTAATTAAAATCTTCTGCCACTGCCATAGCTACTGCTGCTGCTGGAACCGCCATAGCCACCTGAAGAGTACAATTTTTCTTTTAAAGTTTCAAAGTGCCAACAGTAACACAATGTTTTCATAGTTGAGATAATAAAAGTTAAATTCAAGTGTCTGGCCATTTAAAAATGGCCCCTACTCCAAAGGAGGTGGTAAAGCAGTCCCATGTCTTTTTAAATTTGTGATCAAATTATCACTTTCTGAAGGTTCTAAACTGTAAACGTTTTGCTGCCTAGACATAGCAGTTAAAGGGCTTTCTTCCCAGCAGTAGCTACAGATACAACTCTTTTGACATGATCCCAAATTACACAGATACCATACCTTGGTTTCGTGGTTTTGCAAAGTATTGACCTCCACCGCCATAGGGGCCAGAGCTTCTGCCTCCAAAATTTCCTCCCTTCATGGGTCCAAAATTTGAAGACTGATTGTTGTAATTGCCAAAATCATTGTAGCTTCCACCACCTCCAAAATTGCTTCCTATGAATGGGAAAGAGGGCCTTCATCTGTTACCTGAGGATGATGCTAGTTTCCAATTCTGTTTAGTGGCCAGAATAAAATAAGGTTGAGTTATCTGCCTTCCTTTCTCCCAAACTATGGTGACTCCAACCTTTGCATTTCATTCTCTGGGAAAGGCATTCAGTTGAATAATCCAGTAATAAAAAGAAAACTGGCCTAACTCACCATGACATAAAATAAAGAGATTTTCATAGTGGCTCAGGCATATTCTCCAGCCTTGAAGGCCTTCATGGATCCAGGGCCACAGCAAGCAGAAGTATCTTGGATACATCAACTAAGCGCCTAAGGTCCCAAAGGAGTTAAGATACTAAATCCTTCTATGATACTAATCTAACTCAAAGACAATACTATCCATTTATCTCTACTAATTGGGAGTGAGGCGGCCCCAGCTTAAAGCTAGGAGGAGGTAGCATAGCAAGCCCATTTGTTTTTAATATACCATGCAATGTACCACACAATGCTTTAACAGCACCAGAACCCAAGCTCTAAAAGGCTAATCTAGCTGTCACACCAAGTACTTGGATCACTGGATACCTACCACTACCACCGCCAAAGCCGCCTCCGCCTCCGTTGTTATAGCTGTCATAGCTGCCACTCCCGCCATAGCCACTGCCCTGGTTTCCATAACCCTGTCCACCACTTCCATAGCCTCTGCTTCCTCCAGAGTAACCAGGGCCGCCTCCTCCATAACCACCTACAAGAATACAATTCTTCTCAATAAGACAAAAGTATTTGACAATGAAAACGTGTGCAAGTGTAATGGCTGAAGGCCTGCTCACAGCATGCGTGTTATGGGCAAGGTTGAGTTTGTCATGCACCAGAATTTTAGTCTCTTATCAACCTATTCTAAAGATCCAGGTTGCCAGGATTTTTTCTCTACTTAGTCCTAAAAAACTTACCATCATTACCAAATCCATTATAGCCATCCCCACTGCCACCATATCCACCACCACCACGGCTGCCACCAAAGCCACCTGGAAGAAAAAGTTTCAAGTTTAAGTATGACTTGCACTGAAAATGACATTCTGAATGCACTTCCCACACTGTAAAATCTACATAGCAAAGACAGTGTGACGTCAGAACTACACGTACATAAACCATACATACCACGACCACTGAAGTTTCCTCCACGACCGAAGTTGTCATTCCCACCGAAACCACCTCCACGACCACCACCAAAGTTTCCAGAACCACTTCGACCTTAAGAAATGAAGTTTAAGCATTAAATCATTCATACTGAAGTAACTCAAAGTTACCTTTAAGGTTTAATTAAGCAACAAGCATACCTCTTTGGCTAGATGAAGCACTAGCCATCTCTTGCTTTGACAGGGCTTTCCTAACTTCACAGTTGTGGCCATTCACAGTATGGTATTTCTGAACTAAAAAAAATATAAATACATGGTCTCAGGGTTTAGAATGCCACATGGACTGTGGAACCCTTACTAAATGCCACTATCGGATACTTACTGACAATCTTATCCACGGAGTCATGGTCGTCAAAGGTTACAAAGGCAAAGCCCCTTTTCTTGCCACTGCCTCGGTCAGTCATGATTTCAATCACTTCAATTTTCCCATACTGTTCAAAATAATCTCTTAGGTGATGTTCTTCGGTGTCTTCTTTAATGCCACCAACAAATATCTTTTTCACAGTTAAGTGGGCACCTGGTCTTTGAGAATCCTAATAGGAGGAAAACCACAGGTTTAGATTAGCAAACCCTATATTCAAATCAAAAATTGTTCTGGTAAGTTTAGAAAACTCCTGAACCTTAAGTCCATAGCAGCACATCTCTAAATGAGTTGAAGGAGGAAAAAAAAACAAAAAAAAACCCAACACAAAACAACTCACTTCTCTTGAGACAGCTCTCTTTGGTTCCACAACTCTTCCGTCCACCTTGTGTGGCCTTGCATTCATAGCTGCATCCACCTCCTCCACAGTGGCATATGTGACAAACCCAAAGCCCCTGGAACGCTTGGTGTTTGGATCTCTCATTACCTGAGAACAGTGTTAACTTATGTAACAAAGTCTGACCGCAGAAGCTTTTGTCATTTTAACTTTGAATACGGCAATAGGAAACTATACCAGCCTTTTATGAAAAGCGGTCCAGTTTCCCACTACCCTAGATTTAACAGGTAGCTTTTAAAATCAAAGCAGAATGTTCCTTTGTCGACAAAGCTCTAACCATAATGTTACTAACAACTTTCATAAGCATTCAGAGAGGACTGCACCAAGATATGCCAAGGAAATCGGCTATTTTACTGCTTTGTCCCAATTCTTACCACACAGTCCGTGAGCGTTCCCCATTGCTCAAAATGGCTCCTCAGGCTCTCATCGGTGGTTTCAAAGCTCAACCCTCCAATGAAGAGCTTCCTCAGCTGTTCGGGCTCTTTAGGAGACTGGAGTGGGGGAAGGGGGAAGTGTTAAATGGACTACAACACGAAACAATTTCCATCAAGGAAAAGAAAAACTAGACACCAACTGTGTACCTAGCACTTATTGTTTGTTCAGGTCGCAACAAGCCACGTGCTTCTCCCCACCAAGGGAGGCAGTATGCTGGGGGTTGGGAGTGCTGGGAAATCCAAGCGCATGCGTCTCTAGTCGTCTTCCGACGCACGCGCAACAAAGGCTTGGGTGGGAGGGGTGCATCTCCATAATGGGACTAACCGCTCTTCAGAAATCTCGCTCACCAAGGCAAGGTTTAAAAAAAGACAAAGATCCTGTGTGCCTAAGAATTTTGCTACGAGTAGCGAGTCCCGCGTGATAACTCGTGGTTGGCGGAGAGCGGCCTCATGGCGATCAAGAGGACAAAATGGCGACTTGAACTTTGGGAGGGGTAGGCCTTGGCAGCGACCGAAGTTAACTGTAGAATCGGCTGGTGCAAGGAACGAAACCAAGCCGCATCTTACCGATTCAGGAAAGGGAGACGAAAAAATTCAAGTTGGAAAGCTCGCCTAACTCACCTCTGACTTAGACATGACGGCAGGGAGAAGAGAGACTTTAACGATGCTTCTTCGGCGGCGTCCACGGGCAGAAAGGAGCAAGCTGACGAACGTATCTGCCAGCCTACCTTCGGCCTCTCTTTTTTACCCCGCCTCCTCGCTTTCGGCATTGGTAGACTCCGCCCTGGAACAGCTCTGATTGGACATTTGAAATCGCTTCCCCTTGCTATTGGCCTGTGGTGCCACATTGCTGTGTAACGTCATTCTTTTGGGCGTTCTACGCGTCTCCACCCCTTGCAGTCAATTGGTTCTCGAGTAATATTATTGTTAACCAGTCTGATTGGCCAACCGATCAATCATTCATGTTTGAATCTACCTGGGGTGTTTAACGCCTTTTTCATCTTCCACGCGTAAATATTACAGTCAAGTCGCGTGGCAAAGCATGATTAACACTATGTATTAGACAAGCAGCCAGGAGGTTACAGTTTTTTTGCAAAGAACGCTTGTTGACCGCACGTGTAGCAAAATGGCGAATTTTGCGCAGGCGCATTAAGAAGTTCCACCTGCCTCTGGGAACACGTGAAATGGCGGGCAGGACTAGGCAGTGAACCTACGGCGCCTGCGTGTTGGCGGGAGTTGGTTCTAGCTTTGCGCATGCGCAGTGGGCGGAGAAAAAAGGTCCGGTCCCAGGATTGGTTGCGCAGGCGCAGGGAAGGATCCGTTTTGGCGGGCGGTTGGCGTTGCGCAGAAGGCGGCGGCGGTGGTGGCTAGTGGTGCGGCCTCACCAAACAGGAACAGGTCAGACGTTAGCGTGAGTGATCACTCTCAATCCCGGGTAAGTGGCAGACAGTCTTATCTACCCATAGTAGGTCTTGAACTGACTCCATTTGGGCCCGTTATTGTGTGAAATGAATGGACCGCGGGGTGGGGGATAGTCAAGGGGCAGCGGTGGATCGGGTCAACCAATAGAAGAACAGGGGGCGGGATGTTTTAATCCCTGTAGGTTCTTGGGAGCTCTGCAGCCGAAGACTTTGACTGGCTTGTGTATAGGCCAATTGGGTGTGCCTTGAGCTGCCGACTGATCGGCCCTTGGGCCATCGGAATGTAGGAGATGGGTTTTCCCCTTCTGAGGAGCGTCTCACTGAGCCAGTGAGCAGGAAGCGCGCGGTAGGTTGGGCTTCTCCAGGAGGCAGCGGTTTGACTCCAATGGGGAATGCGGGATCGGGCGGTTAAACGGATGGAACGAATCTGGAGCCAGTAGACGGACAGCCTAAGGAAAGCGCTGGGACCAGTCGTCCAATCGGCTCTCCAAAAGAGAGAGGTCTTCGATTTGGGGTTGTGAGGAAGGGGAGTCGGTGCCTGTAATGGCGTGTGAGGATAAATGTTTTATCCACAATGACTTTTCTAATGTTCTAACGGAGCCTTTAGGCCTCAGTCCCACACACCTCCCTGAAAGCCTAAGTTTCCTCCTGTATTCCTCGACTTGACCATTTTTCCCCCGCCTCCTCACCACTTGAGGTTTGGGGAACAGAGGAGGTTTTTGTTTGTTTTTTTAATAATACTTTCAGAAGTCGCTTCTTTAGGAAGACTGTTAAAATGTTAGAACGAATAGGAGAAATCTCTATATCCTGATAGTGCATATTTCCACGAACAATATGTTTGTAGGTCCATAGAAAAGTTTTCGAAAGCTACACACCAAAGTGTGTCAGTCCTAGGGACACAGTAGGGTCGAGGCAGGCTGGTTCTTTAATGTTTAAAACTTTGCAAGATTAATGATTTGTGATTAAAATTAAATAAAAAATGAAGTCAATTGTTTTGTGTTTCTAATCATAATCACATACTTACCACCCTTTTTCTGATTTATATAATCCATGTGCCCAGTGCTTTTAGTCTCTTTCTCCCGGGAACTTTCCCTCTCATACATTTCCTTTCTTTACACCATTAAAGATATCCTAAAACCCCTCTTTTTGATGTTCATTTGAGGATATCTGCCTTTGGATTAAAAAAGAAACGCTTAAAGAGGGTAATATTTAGGGTTCTGGGGACAGAAGACTCATCCGTCACCTGGATTATTCCTTGCCTTTTAATTAGATTTCCTTCGAAGTGTGTTTTACATGCAGTCTATCTCCTTTTGGTAATGCCCCCTCTGCTTATTCCAGGATCTTTTGGAGAAATAAATAAATTTTGATAACATTGGCTGTATCAGAGTCTTACTGCTTTACTCAATAATTCAGGATCAAGGGAAAATACTTAAATGCTGAAAATCAACTACCTATGAAGTACACTTATGACTAGAGACCTTTCCGACTTTATACCAAAGACAAAAGATTTTAATAGCAGTTTATGAACAGAGGAAAAATTTCCATGTTCTCTGGCACTAGCAAAAGGACAAAGTATTTATATATAATTTATATCTGGTTTTAAACCTATTTGTAGGTATGCTAGTAATGGGGTTGCTGAGCTTCTGAGAACTAAAGTGATACTGGTTAAGGGTATCTGTCCTGGATTTATTTAGGTTTGAAAGGAATACAGTCTTAACCTGCAGCAAGATTTCTCAGTGTTAGCACTGTTGATATTTTGAGGCAGATAAGGGTATTCGGGGTGTCCTGTGCATAGTAAAATATTTAGCAAAATCCCTGGCTTCTACCCACTGTATGCCAGTAACATCGCCCCTCTCGCCACATCCCCATTTGTGACAATCAGATTGTTAACAGACATTGCCAAATGTCCGGAGAGGTAGGGATCGGGGATAAAATCTCCCTCGGTTGAAAATCATTCTTCCAAAATTCTGGAATTTTGGGCACAGTTTCGTGTTCCTGTAGTCCCAGCTACTCTGGAAGCTGAGGCAGGAGGCTTGAGCTCAGGTGATCAAGGCTGCAGTGTGAAATGATTATGCCTGTGAATAGCCACTGCACTCGTCTGGGCAGCACAACAAGATCCCATTGCTAAAAAATAAAAATAAAATGCTAGAGTTTATTATTTTTTCAAAATCCATTATTTTACCAATTGGAAAATAGGTAAAAGTGAGAGAAGATGGTTGAAGTGTTTAGGGAGTGGCCTTTGGTAAATGGGTCGCTAAATCCTGATGTTTATCTCCTTAGATACAGAATTGGTCATTGTTCCATTTGATAAAAGGAAATTTTTATTAAAATTTTTACCACTTGATCTGGTGCCAGTGGCTTACGTCTGTAATCCCAGCACTTTGGGAGGCTGAGGTGGGCAGATCACTTGAGGCCAGGAGTTTGAGACCAGCCTGGCCAACATGGTGAAACCCGTCTCTACTAAAAACACAAAAATTGGGCCGGGCGCAGTGGCTCATGTCTGTAATCCCAGCCCTTTGGGCGGCCGAGGCGGGTGGATCACTTGAGGTCAGGAGTTCAAGACCAGCCTGGCCAACATCGTGAAACCCCGTCTCTACTGAAAATACAAAAAAATTAAGCGGGCGTGGTGGCAGGTACCTCTAATTCCAGCTACTCGGGAGGCAGAGACAGAATTGCTTGAACCGGGGAAGCGGAGGTTGCAGTGAGCAGAAATTGCACCACTGCACTCCAGCCTGGGTGACAGAGCGAGACTCTGTCTCAAAACAAAAAACAAAAAACCCCACAAAAATTAGCCAGGCATAGTGGTGGGCACCTGTAATCCCAGCTACTCAGGAACCTGAGATGGGAGAATCGCTTCAACCTGGAGGCAGAGGTTGTAGTGAGCCAAGATCGTGCCACTGCACCCCAGCCTGGGTGACAGAGTGAGACCTTGTCTCAGGAAAAAAGAAATATTTACCACTTTTTGCAACTTAAACTTACACATATGATTGATTGCATCTTGTCCTTGTTTGGCTTCCTAAAATAACGGCAAATATGTTTTTGAAGAAGGTAGACTTTGCCTCACATCCGTCTTTTTCACTTGATTCTAGCTAGCCTCTTTACTAGGATTCTTTACTGGGATTCTTTTGGATCCACGTTTCAAAACTTTTTTGACTTCAATAAGAAATGTATTTTACAGTAATCCTGTACACACATTGAAACAGATTTCACTAAACAAACAAATGTGCAGAGCACTCTGATACTCTTTTGTCTGCAGTATACTATTTCATTGTCTTAATAAAGCAGTCAATTTCTACCGAACTGATTTCGCAGCTGTTTATAGACCCAGAGTTTTGGGGGAAAAAAGACTGCTGATCTGAACAATAGGTCACCAAATCATGCCACCTTTGATTACTTTCTGAGTCAGTTCCTTCCATCTCCAGCCCCAGCCCCTTGTACAGATGATCCCTTACTTGTGATATTTCGACTTAAGATTTTTTCACTTTTACAATGGTGTGGAAAGCAATTTCCTTTCAGTAGAAACCATACTTCAAGTATCCACATAACCATTCTGTTTTTCACTTTCGGTACAGTAATCAACCAATTACATGAGATATTCAACACTTTATTATAAAATAGGCTTTGTGTTAGGTGATTTTGTCCAACAGTAGGCTAATGTAAGTATTCCGAACACATTTAAGAGTAGGCTAGGCTAAGCTATGATGTTCGGTAGGAACACCTTAGGTGTAGGAAATGAATTTTCAATTTTTCGTATTTTCAACCTGTAAGTCAAGGAGTATCTAAACAGATTAAGCAGTGACCTGTTACTTGGTGTTTTTACTTATGTGTTTTACTTTGAAAGATTATAGGAGCCAAGCCGAGACTTTCTAGTTTACTGTGGTGTGCAAGTGAAAATTGCTTGTTTTATTGTGAAGTCTCACAGTGCTTAAAGAGGGAAAACAATAAAAATATTGCAAAATCTCTCACAATGTGATAGGGTTTTTTGTTTGTTTGTTTGTTTGTTTGTTTTGAGACGCTCTTGTTGCCCAGTCTGGGGTGCAATGGCGCGATCTTGCCTCACCTCAACCTCTGCCTCCCGGGTTCAAGCGATTCTTCTGCCCCATCCTCCTGAGTAGCTGGGATTACAGATGTGTGCCACCACGCCCTACTAATTTTTAGTAGAGACAGGATTTCTCCATGTTGGTCAGGCTGGCCTTGAACTCCTGAACTTAGGTGATCCGCTTGCCTTGGCTTCCCAAAGTGCTGAGATTACAAGCGTGAGCCACTGTGTCCAGCCTCTAATGTGATAATTAATAGATATGATGAACTTTTCTCTCTGGTGGTGAAATTTTGGTGGGTAATTTTTCATTGAAATTCTGGGAATCTCACAGAGTTAGAAATCCTAACTTCCAGTGTGATATGTGTTGGGCCTCCAATTACAAAAGTTACAGCATTTGTGCTTAGAACTTAGAGACATACCGGCCGGGTGCAGTGGTTCATGCCTGTAATCCCAGCACTTTGGGAGGCCGAGGCAGGCGGATCATGAGTTCAGGATTGAGACTATCCTGGCTAACATGGTGAAACCCCGTCTCTACTAAAAATACAAAAAATTAGCCAGATGTGGTGGCGGGCGCCTATAGTCCCAGCTACTCCGGAGGCTGAGGCAGGAGAATTGCTGAACCTGGGAGGCGGAGGTTACA